CCGCTCCCATGAGCGAGCCTCCGAAGTCGATCTTGGGCAACGGCTCTGCTGTGCCGGCCTTTGGAGCCCCAACAATCACAGGACAGGCACCGCAGAACGGGACCACAGTCGCCACTCCTACCGCTGGGGGCCCATCCTTTGATGAGGCCTTTGCAGGGTTCGAATCCGGGCCGGACATGAAGAACCTTGGCGGTTCTCTAAACTCGCCCATCACGGCAACCTCGCCAAGTGGGCCGTCAGAAGCTGCTGGGCAGACCTTCCCGTCCGTCCCATCTCCAAAGACGTCCGGCCCCGCCCGCGACGACACGGTCAATTTCTCCGCCTCCACGCCACAGATCGCCGCCTCCTCCGCGCAGCGGCACGTCTCCCAAGACACGTTCTTCCACGGCGTCGTCGAAAGAAGAGAAGGCGAAGGACGCCCCTCCGCCCCGTCATTCGAAACTAAGCGTAAGTTGATCCCAGTAATTACTACCATCAATTACAATTGATCTTTTCACTCCAGATTCGGCTGCCGTTTGGCAAGAAAAAGAATAAACAAGTAGAGCCTCTTCCCTCGGCCTCCCAACTCCTTACTCCTCCTCGGGAGGAGCCGGAAAGAACGGCCACGCCCGCCGTGGATGATGACGTGGAGACGGTCAAACAGCTGACGGCGATGGGATTCAGCCGCACCCAAGCTGTGGATGCGTTGGAGATTCACGGCTATGATGTGCAAAAGGCACTGAACAGCTTGCTCGGGGCGCAATGAGGGCTTATTTCAGGCGTCAATACTTATGATAATTCTTCTATAACATTCCGGAACAGATACCTCTCCAATTGACACTAATATTATTATGGACAGTGAGGTACGTTCGAACTATGGATGTTGCAATGGGTTCTCGCGAATCTCTCGATAAGACTCGGGATAGATAATGGGTCTGAGGACCGGAGCGACACGATACCGACGGTGGTGAGATTCGACCGGTTCTCACTTGTGCTAGGAGTACCATCAAATTCGATAGATCGACGATAAATAATGCATTTGAGACAGTGCGTGCACGATGCAAAAAAAAAAACAAGAGAGAGAAAGAGTCGACTACACGCCCCTACACTTCAACGGGTATCTTGAAAGGTAGCTGCAGCGGCTGGGAGATTTTATCGAGCCATCCAGTCCAATCTCGCTCTTTGTGGCGGCGCCGCGCAACCGCATTAAGCTGAGAAGGGGTAGGATGGTGGGCACAGAGGATCAGCCAGTACTTGGACATGTCCCGAGTTTGTGTAAAGCGTAGAGTATTTTGGCCTAATACAAGGAATTGAGACACATCAACCAATCCGTTCGATGGCAGCTGTCAACTCGTGAGGAAATTTCAAACACACCCATATTTACTACGCACAGCAAATGGCGGAGACATGGGAAAATCCATGCGCTGGCCGTTCCACAAAGCATTCATGCTCAAACCACCTCGAGGAGAATGTAAATAAATTGGGTGCTTTAGACGGGCAGAGCATACCGGTCTTGGGCCACGAGCATTCAAGGTCGGGAAGAATGGTTCGGAGGTCTCTACTTTCAGATGACTCCAACCGAGCTCTAACATCGGCCGCCAAAAAGCACAGCAGGGTTATACATAAGCTCTTTTCGATCTCACTGAATAAACGGAGGCATGTAATCAACAAAGAGTGAAAAATCAGCTCAGACGTAACGCACTCGGAATGTTTTGAGCGAGCGCTCCACCGGGATATGGAGTTCAACTGATTCTGGTTGATGGAGAAGTCTATACTTATCGTGCCGCTTGCTAATCCGCGATGGCGGGCTATTACAGTGGCTGTCTTGATATTAGTTCCTGACGGAGGGTGAGTTACGGCGCTTGAGTGAATGTTCGAACATACTAGTTGGGGTGACTTCCTCAGTATAGAATTTTTTGGGGTCATTGGCTAGAGCGTTTCGAAGGAGGTCCGAACTTGTCTTCAATGGCAAAGACTCAGGATGTGGCCATCGTTCATCGGTTGCGGAAGGAGTGGGTAGCCCCTCCGAAGAGAACGACTGAGGTCCTACTGCCGTGTCCTGTGAATTAATGTGAGTAAAGACGTCGAGGTCTTCGAACTGATGATGAATTACAGATGCGATGAGTTTATTGACGTTATCCACCATAGTCTGGATAATTGCTTGAAAAGCGGCTGGATTACCTAGTGGGGGTTCTGCGACTTCAGCTCCCTGGGTAACATCTGCGTCGCTAGTATTTGTATGGGGCGTATCCACGATTCCTTCCATCGAAGTTACATCAGAACTGGGGACTTCTGCTGGTATTGGCTGTGAAGTGTAAGTCTCGGTGGGAACGGGAGGGAGTTCAATGTCGGTGGAGACCATAGGCATTGCCTCGTCAGAGTGTACTGCGACAGGGTCAGCACCATCTGGGATATTATTTGGAATAGGTACGGCCATCTCGATGGAAGGCCCCGAATCCGTTAATGTACGCAACACACGATTGACCTCATCATCCGTCGCAGATGTTAACGCGTAAGGAGCGGTGTCTGAAACTGAAGCGGTTGGATGGGTATCCTAGAACGTCAAGTCTTAGAAAATCTTTTTATGTCAATCCTGTTTGGGACATACGGAAGCTGATGAGACCGACGCAGGTGCGAAGGTTGGCTGTCGAAAATGAGTAAGCCGTCAGAGGAGCACGGGAGAGCGCGTACAGAAGCGCCTTGCGGATGCAGCTCGATCATTTCAACATCTTCTGAGTACTGCACGCTCATCACTACATCGTTCGAATCGGCCCCTCGCACTTTGGAAGTCGACTCTACTCCGATTGGCGTCTCGTGGTTGATACTTTCTGAAAGTACGACAGACGCAGCCGAGACAGAATTATCTGCGGTGGCGTGTATCTGCAAAGGGCTGGTGCTTGCACTCTCTGATGATACCGGAAGTACAGAAGAAGAAGGGTCAGAGCCTCCTAAAATACCCACGGGCGCGGTGGCATGAGGGACCTCCACCGGTTTTGGAACGGTCGCCATTTTTTGCTTATAATGCTGGACATCGGCCTGAATAAACTTGGAGAGATCTTCTTTCTTTTTCTTCCTGCGTTTAGGCTTGGATGACGAGGCCACCGGCGCAGATGCCGAGCCACTTGCAGCATCCAAGGGCTGCGATCTAACTGGTTGAGGCTGAGCGTCCGGAACCTGGATGAAATCGTCACGCGTATTTAGGACGGGATACCAGCTCTCATTACCGAGGGAGCGTTTGCGTTGTTAGGATTGTCCTTCCCAGACATTGGGGGGTCATTGGTCGGAGTAACGGTTGATTGAGTCGCACGGGGAACCGGGGGCGTCAATGCTGCGGCCAAAGATGATGAACTAGGGCGCATTTGCTGGCTTCGATCTATGGCAGTCGGGGTATGCACGGCATCCCTGAAATCCATTAGCCGTTGAATGGGTAAGATTTCAAAGAAATCATTTACGGAGGAGGAATTTGAGGAACGGTCACTGCGGATGGATTCCGGACGCTTGCAAGCAGTTTTGCAATGGAAGCTAATCTCCACGATTAATTGGGCCACTCTCCCGCGCAATGGTTTCGCTGACCTTGGAGATCTGGTTCAACGAATCGTTCTTGGAAAGGCGCTACGCAAAGGATGAGACGAGTATATTGAGCGCTCATTTGCCGATGTTGGGACTCGGCTGCTTGGCGGAGTGCTAATTGTGCTTCCCCTAGTTCGCCGAGTTGGTCCTGGTGCGCTTCCGTTGTTTCGCGGAGTTTTTCTTCCGCTTGGTGGAATGTTTCCTCTGCAACCTGACATTTGACTCTTCAATCCATGTTCAATCCGTGGGGCTAGATGTGTGTAAGTACCGAGAGGATTTCTACAATCTGAATCGAAGTAAGGATAAAGATTGCGATTTTTTAGTTGAATGAACCTCTTTGCGAGCTTCAGCATAGTACGCCTTTTCGTTGCTGAGCCATTGACCGAACTTCTTGGCAGCTGCGGCGAAGAACGGTCTATCGCTGAACTTTTCCTTGAAGACGTCAAACAGCCTGGCGGTTTCAATCCACTGTGAGGCGTGCGCTCTGTGAACCTCACCTTTGATTTTGCGCCAGGATACTGTCCCCTCCATTTGAAGCAGCCATTAATTCTCGCCTTTCGGGTGTGGGATGGAGATCAAAGTGCAGGACGATCGGAGTGGCCTGATCCGGGCCCGGGCCGGTAGAGTCTCGCCATCTCTCGCCATTATACTGTATTCTTGCCTCTCGTGAAGACGTGAAGCACTCTTTTACCCTCACCATCGACACTGTTTCTACGACACTGAATGTACCTTAGAAGGCGCCGCGGACAACCAACTGGTCCTGTAACTGCCAGTCTAAGTTTCTCTCGGGTTTCCCGCCGGGCGTGGGCTGTTGATTCTCAGCACAGTTTCTGTACCCTAATCCTGGGTATGCCTCTCCTATGGGGCCTGCCATGCCTCTCTCCTCGTCTGAACTACACCATTTCGAGTGTCTCTAGTGGTCAGGCACGTTTACACTTGCTGCTCCTGCGTTCGCGAAGATGGGCAACCGCTATTGGATTGGATTCTACCGGGCCCTATCAACGCAGTGACGAGAGATGCACGGTATGTTGTGATTTTACAGCTCTGCAGCGAAGATTGAATTGTCACGATTGGTGTTCCCAGCTATTCCCTAGGTGAGCTTGGTCCTTCCGAATTTTACTTGCCCAGAATTGTCCTGGCCGCGATGCGGAGAGAGATAGTTTCACTGACTGATCGTCTGCTGTCCGCCCTTTCTTAGCGTCCAATCACACATCGACTCCTCACCGACTCCATCGGCGTCCTCATTGCATCCCAGAACCCCGACGCGCCGACCGCCGCCCGTCTCTCGCTTATGTTCATCAACGCTCTTGGTTTTGACGTGTGCTGGACCTCGTTCGTGACCGTGCAGCACTACTACACCCTTTCCAAGTCCTCCATTACAATGGGTCGCCTCATTCGTCTTGACTGCACCGACGGCGTATCCCGCAACCATCAGCAGGGCCAAAAAGAGCAGACACTACCGTGGGTCGAACACGGGACCGCACGATAGTATATGATCCACAGAATCATTGCAATCGTGCGCTCAACCACTAAGCTATAGTGTCTAGGAGTGGTTCAACCAAATATTAGCTAGACGGATTCGTACCGCAGGGAAAATCCCGTCTTACGATATCGAGGGCAGCTTGAATCGTCACATTGGAATCTAAGACCGCGCCGATAGCAAGTGCATTTTGAAGTACATTTTTCGTTTCATTCTTCTTGTTTCTCAGCCTGTGTTAGCTCATCCCGTGAGCCGAAAGGTTGCAGTCCTGTGTTCGACCCTCAGTAATGGCATTGTTTCCCTTTCCGCGTTATCGAAACCCTCACTTCAGAACGAGGAACGAGTGATGGAGTCTGTCAAGAGAGACTAAATCCTCCCCGAGTGTTACAATATAATGCCAGCAGGCTGGTCTCTCTGAATGTCGCCGTTTTGGAGTATGTATACTAGTTCCGTATCGCGCCGCTGATGCAGTAGCTATTCAATTAATTGGGCATCTGCATTACAGCTAAATTGCGTGCTAGTCGGCTAAGGGTAAAGGATTAACAATGAGTGAATGCCATAGCGCACGGTCCTTTGTATTTTTGGGAGGCATGGCCGCCTGCCGCCTTGTTCGCTCAATGTCAATCACGAACGTCCAACTCTTTATTCCCGTTTCAACTCTAACAGTCATCTTGCTGTGATAAAGGACACTGCCCCGGTTTGACACGATCGCCGCCCTTATAACGGCTCGCTAGACGCCAATAATACCAGCAAGCCAAATACCCCTTTACGCGTTATTTATCAAATATTTATCCATCGTTCCACCCCCACGTCCACAAGGTCGTTTCTTTCGCGTTCGTTCCCCAGGCCCTCATGGCATTTGACCTGGTGGTGGTGGGTGAGTATTGCGGTCGCTTTGTACAATTAGCAACACCACTAATATGTCGAATCGAGGGGAGGGAGGGGGACCCGACGAAACTAACCTATCCGCGTATGTTTCCCGCTTGCAACGCGTGTGGTGTGCTCACTGCGATTTGTACTAGTTATCTGTTCAAGCCGTCTGTCGCTTCTTGGGAGGACGGAATCGTCGCGTTGGAAGCAGGTTCGTCTGCTATCAACTTTTTTTTGGGATAATCTGCCCCAACTACAGCCAGGATCTGGCCAAGGAGCCGTGCAGAAACTCCTTCAACGCGACCCGCAGCTGTTTAATTCGCCAGACTCGGCGCGCACAACGCCGTACTCGGCGTCGGAGATCTACTCGCTCGTGCGGTGTTTCCTCATTACTCACGCCCACCTGGACCACGTCAATAGCTTGGTTATATCCGCCGGGTCCCTGAGTGGACCGCGAAAACGACTCTGTGCCGCGAAGCAGACTCTCACAGATCTGGAAAGCGTGTTTTCCGACCGCATATGGCCCAACCTGGCGTCTTGGAACGAAGAGGACGACGAGCACAAACTCCTGTACACTGTGTAAGTCCCCGCGGCTCAAATTCCGCACCGCTGCTCATATTCCCCGAAGCCTTGCTATGAATAACGCGTACGCAACGCTAATTCCCGACGTCTCCGTCCGCGGGTTCCCTGTGAGCCACGGCCACAACGAAGCAGGCAATTACGATTCAGCGGCATTTTTCATTCGCTACGACCCCACGGGCCACGAATTCCTCTTCTTTGGGGACCTCGAGCCTGACGCACTCTCCCTTTCCCCTCAGACGATCAACGTTTGGCGTGCCGCCGCCCCAAAAATCCCAGAAATCTTGTCCACGATATTCATAGAGTGTTCCTGGGATTCTTCCCGAAGCGATGAGACTCTATACGGTCACCTGAAACCAGAGTATCTGGTGCACGAGCTGGAGGTCCTCGCTACGGAGATCATAAAGGTTCGAACTGCCGCGCAAGCCCCCGCCCCGCCAGCGCGCAAGAAGCAGCGGAGGAATAATACTGCCATCGCGCCGCCTCCGACGGATGTTCGGGGCGCCTTGGATGGCGTACGCGTCTTCATAATTCACTGCAAAGACACGCTTGACGGAGCCCCCGACCGGCCGAATCAGACTCTTATCATCGAGCAGATAAAAGCATTGGTGGAAGTAAAGGGGCTTGGAGTAGAAATTTTGGCTGCCCGCCAAGGGATGCGTATCCGTGGGTCGTCCATGTCCGTTTCTAAGCTCTGGACTCATCCCGATGCCAGAGATATAAGTCCTACGGACACGTATTTATTTCTTCTTGACCACTCGACCATTTGCTGTATACTAGACCATCCTGTAGCTGTAGTGCTTTCCGCTCATCCGAAATGACATTGGTTATGTATGTACCACACAGTGCGTTGCATGGTCCGATTATTCATAAGTAATTGCGTTCATAACAGTCGTTAGAAACATGTGTATGTACAAGAAGAAGAGCGAAAAGTGAAATTCCCGTATGAACATTCTAATTAAGCAAAGCTATGGCGCAAATAACCCACCACTAAAAGCGAAGAAGCTCGGAAACAGAGCGTTACGACGATGCGTAGAGCTTCACAACGCCGTCGGCCCCAGCGCTTGCCATGAAGGGCAGTGACGGATGGAACTCGACATCTAGCACCCCTTCGCGCGCTTTTTCTCGGTGAGTCGTGATCTCCTGCACGCATGCGCGCGAGCCAAGCAGATCCCAGAACCGCACAGAGCAGTCGTGGCTGCCGGAGACGAGCGAGAAACCGGCGGGGTCGATCGACAGCGACGTGACGCCGTCGAGATGAGCCAGCATCGAATGTGTGCATTGCCCTGCACGTATCAATAAGCCAAGATTGCGTTGATAGTCGCCGGAAAAAAAACAGACCTGTCACAATATCGAATATCCGGATATATTTGTCCTCGTGGGCGGTAACGAGTAGAGACATGGTGGGATGCGAGACTATCCGGTTTATCTGGGTAGCTGGCGTGCCGTCTAAGATATGCAAAGTCAGATCGGAAGCCAGAACGGTGTTTGGAGACGTACCATAACTGATATCAGTCGGCAGCCTCGACAGCTCCTTCCCATTCTCAATGTCGAATATCTTGACGACCGCATTCTGGTATGCGACTGCCACCTTTTTGAGATCGACCTTGAGCGCCTCGACCGCAGTCGCACCCGGAGCATCCGTGTCCTCCTGGGGCTCGTCCGAGTTCTCCAGGCCCGACCATCCCCACGTGAGCTTTAGCGACCCGCCGCCAGAGGGTCCGCTAACGTCCCACACCTTCACCGTGCCTTCTGCGCCGCAACTGATGAGCGTACTCTCGTCTCGGACGAGCGCGAGGTCCCAGACGGCGTCAGTGTGGCCGATGAGCTCGCCGCGCGCGCGGGTCTCATCATACGGAGCATACGTCGTGTGTGATGGAGACGGGAGCGCCCACACACGGATCGACGAGTCTAGCGATGCTGAATACAAAAGCTGTTTTGAAGGCGCGTGTATCAGCCGCGTGATGGCTGCTGAATGTCCGCGGAGAGTCAGTTGTGGCTCAATTTCAGTGGTCGGTCGCGAGCTGCGTTCAGGTCAGAGTAAATCGGGGGATGGCGTTGGACAGAAGCATACGCAGACGAGGCGAGGACCGGCAACATCCATCCGCCATATTTTCACCGTGCAATCGTCTCCGCCTGTCGCCAGAGACAGTTCGTGCGGGTGGAACGCGAGGGCTCGAACGGCATCCAAGTGGACTGGCCGACCGGTAAGTATCACGGTGTCAGAATGAGAAGATAGCTTCCACGCACTTTCTTAGTGTCCGTTTTGGCCGCCAAACCTTATTACCCTCGCCGTCGCTAACCACGGACGACTCATCATCGTCCACCTCGCCGTCCTCATCCTTCCCATCTTCCTCGTCGGACCGTCTATCCCACCCCTGCTGGCTTTCTCGTGCGAAGCGAGCTTGCTCAGCCTCATGTGACAATCTCAGCTTCTCCTTCCATTCGCCCGCGTCATCAGGCCGGAAAATCGCGGTCAGCTGGCGGGGCTCCGAGTCACCATCCCTGTCCCTCTCGCCAGCAGGGTTTGATAGCGGCGGTGGCTGTGAGGGCACCACGTTCTGCTGCATCAAGGCCGGGTTCGGAGAGGATTGTTGAGACTGTTGCGGCATGTGTTGGAGTTGCAGCATTCCCGAGCCAAGTGGGTTGCCTCGTTCGAGATTAGGAACCTGTCCCCCAGTCGCGGCGGGAGCGGAGGAAGGACCAGACATTAAGTTGATGTTACCGTTCAGCATAGGAAAGTCCTTGCCCGACTCTGGCAGGAGCTTCCGTGGTCGGCCATTGAAGGCCATTTGCTCAAACGGCGGCGCGTTTGGAAGGGTGAGCGAGATGTTGCCATTGTTGAGTAAGGGTCGGTTCGGTAGTGGATTCATCGCCTGAGGCGACGTGAGATATGATATTTCCTGGAGGCATCTTTAATGTTCGGTGAGCTTGTGTCTGGCAATACAGACCAGGAAGCCTACTGTTTGAGGTAGTCGCGACTTCGTGCCCTGCTCTTTGGATCCCGACCCGGCGGGGGTTTCCCCAGCCCCGCTACGGTTCCCGTCGACGGACCATTCGTCCAGTTAGCGCCACCCCACGAGTTTGGTCGGCCTGTCGGCCCGACTGATGCTACGCCGTTGACGCGTCCGTCTGGCAGCGGGGAATCTGAGCGAGGTTGATGAGAGAGCGGAACAGAGTGGACGGAACGCATGTACCCTCGCTCCGCGGAGAGCTGCCGCTGCTTTCTTCCTTGTGGCTTTGGGCGTCGTCTTTTTGAGACGAGGATGAGGTGAGTCCTTGTATCGCGGCAAGTTTTGCGGGGGGCACCGACTGGGAGGCAGTCGGCGGCTGAGTGAGCTGTTTTGAGCTGGAGCGGACACGTCAAGAAATAAAATCCGGCAAAGAGGGCTGGAACGGACCGCTCCATGCGCAGGGCGTATTCGAGCATTTTGATGCGACGCATAAGGTCGAGTTTTACATTCTCGAAGGAGCGACGCTCGCCCTCGAGAAGCGCTATGCGAGCCTGGGGAAATGGATTATTGAGATACGCGACGCAAGACGGGGAGAAGAGACGGACCCGCATTTCAGCGCGCTCTATTTCCCACTCATTCCTGTCGCGTTCGTATTTGCGCC